CCTCCAGCATGTCGATTGTAATTAGTATCCGGTAGGTTAGTCCTTTCGTTTACCCTATACACACAGGTTCTGATACGGCAGCATGGATCAAGGAAGATACTACAGCCGCAGTCATGTCTGCATGCTGCGAAGAAAAACAAAGAGAAGAAGAAATGAGCAACAACATTGCCAGGGTATAGAGTCAAAGGAGGTCGAAGAACAATCAATCGACAGTTCTACCTGCTTTACCGATGACGGCTTCTATTTTGATTTCAAGGATATCTACGGAGTACTCCATACGGAGGATCCGGATCAGCGTTCGACACTCGAAACAGTCCGATGGCCCTATACTCCACCCGTGGAGCATGTTCATCGACAGTCTCCCATGGATATCCCAAAGCATATAAATGCGTCACTTCCCCGTCAAAATCCTACCCCTCTCTTGAAAGAAACATATATAAAAACAACCGAAACCCCTTCAAGGAACCATTAACTTGAAATCATTCTCAACCCAATTCATCATTCATCATCTAAAATGAAGTTCTTCGCCACCGTCGCTCTCCTAGCCACCGCTGTGGCCGCCGCCCCATCCCAGAGGCTCTTCAACCTCAGGACTTCCGGTTCCAGCAACAGCTCTCACAACGACCTGTACCTCTCCGTCGGTCACGGGCTGGCCAGCGACCCGCTCAACAGCGAAGCCATCTTCTCTGGTGCCTCAGCCAGCAACGCTGCCGCCTTCTCCTTCATCAATGGCACCATTGTCTTGGATACCGAGGCCAAGACCCCCTGGACTCTTGACTTAATCAGTGTGGAAGGTAAGATAGCCCTGTCCTACCTTTGAATGTGACTATTACCGAGCCCAGAATACTAACGATATTGGTACTATATAGGCGCTCGCAAGGGGCGCGCCCAGATCAGCGTCAAACCCACTTACGGCTCGGGAGGCTTCTCCGTCAGCCGCCAGGGCGTTCAGGGACCCAGTGAGATTTGGGATGGATGGCTGTGTAAGTTCTTCTATTTTTATACCCCTTTCCAAGGCTACATGATCGTGTTGAGTGCAATGGCTGACTCCTTTTATTTTTTTAGGGTGCCCCGCCAATTTCGAGGCCGGCCAGTTGTTCCCCAACTTGCACTTCCTCAGCAAGACTGTTCAGGAACCTGCACTTCCGGAAGGATGTGACAGGATCCAGCTCAATGCTGTTCCCACAAGCTCTGCTTAGAGGGGTTTTGGATTTTTGAATTTTGGTTTACAACTCGTAGCGAACATCAGATTGTGATATGTGCTTTCTAGTTTTTGTGTTCTTTTCAAAATTTGGAACTTGTCCTGCTTTTCATGTCAGCATATCTCAGCGTATAAGGCAGGCTTAATTGATACTATCTTGATTATTCTACTCGTTATCTTTTTGACATCCATGGATGTCCTGTGGATGCTCTATATCGAATACTTTATCGAATTCTTCTCCCGACATACGGATCCTCACCAATGCCACATAGTCTTTCAATGAGAGAGAATATCATAGATCCCCACATCTTTCAATCTTCCCTATTCCATCCCTAAATTCGTAATAGTCTTCGGGTGCGAGTTGCTACATCGCCACCCCCACGTTTAGGAAACTTCTCTGGCGGAACCGAGCGATACCCGACCTTGGATACGGGCAGCCAGGTGGCGATTGTAGATCATACCCTTTAGTATAGTATAGTTGGTCGCTATTTTAGGTATGACAGTTTACACCATGGCTGACGTCAAACATCGGTTCCGGTTCATAGTACAGAGTAGGGCTGTGGTTTGTTGTGTTGTGCAACTATGCTATGTCATGGTGCACTGCCATTCATCATTCGCTTATCTGGGTTTTGTAGCCTTGGAATGAAGGTCGGATGTTGGTCAACCTCTGGAATAGGTGATTAATTGAATATCAGTTCGAAGGTTTTCGTTGAAGTACATGGTTATCACTTATATCCCGAATTGAAACATATATATTGCAGACCCCTCGGTTTCAGTGTGATATAGATTTGATCAATTAAAGGATAAGAATAAATGATCGGTGCTCATATGATTTACATGCTCATAATGTGATAGATATATAAGCAATCTTGTGTCTGATAAAGTCGAACTTTTGCGTTGCTCAACCTGAACGAGTATAAACTTAGACTTGACACTTCTCAGCTTTATAGCACAATAAATTTGGTATTCTAGATAGTCCAAATAGTCCAAATACATAGTCCAGATAGTTATCAGTTGTCCGCTATAAATAGCCCATGTCTCACATACTGGACAGCCACTACCTATTTGGGCTTAGCTCCTCAATACAGCTCAAACATCGCATCTTCTCTTTCTCTCTGTTTTCTTCCCTCTCTCCAATTGTCTGTGAAGGTAAAGACAGTCGTTTACTATTTGCCTTGAAATTATTTACCATCGTTGCTCCGAATCGAAACCCTCGAAACCCCACACTCCCGAGATCTACATGTTTTAGTGCCCAGACTGGCAAGGGGATTAATAACATATTCTGCACTACACATCCTTTTGATCGTCCTTCCCTAGCAACCGAAATTGCTTGGTACGGACATCAAATCGATAAGCCTGCTTCGACATAGGAGGCCTCTTTTTTTTTTTTTTTTTTTTTTTTTGACAATTCACACCGGGTTGTGCAAGGGGCGTGATCAGTCTACCTTTCAGCCCAGGGAGTAATACCTCGGTCGCTTGATTTTTGAACTTCCAGATAATCTCTCCAAAACTTCGACATGCGGTGTTTTATTTTGAGTGTGTTCTGCACCATCTTGTTGCTGGGAACGATCTCATCGGCTTGGCCATGGCGGCCCTATGGAGAACTTCCGGGTAACTCCTTGGATAAGCGAGCAGGTAATTCAGGACTCTTATCACACCATTGCCCTTGATGCTGACCTGCAATTCAGATACCACAGAGACAACGACCGCTAAAACCTCCGAATCTACCACGGATGCCTCCACTGTCTCCAAGACTTCTACCGGAACCACCGGCGGAACTACCACCGGCATAAACACCGACACCAAAACCGACACAAACAGCGACACAAGTACAGACACAAAAACAGGCAAGAAAACAGGCACTGCAACCGATTCTGACACGACCGGCACAACAACTAGCACGAAGACGGGAAAATCCAAGACTACCACTACCACCTCCATCTCCATTGACCCAGCTGCCGCTGCTGGCGGCGTGTCCATGATCACTCCCGCTTCTTCGTCCACGACCTACTACAAGATCGGCCAGGATGTGACATTTGTATGGAACTATACTTCTTTGTCGGTCACGCCGTCTGCGGTCAACGTCGTGGCTTCGTGCAGTCTCAACTCGATGACATATACGCTCAGCTCCAACATGAGCGTAAAGCAAACCGGAAGCCTCGTGTGGGATACTGGAAAATATCAGTCATCGGCCACTATTCCGTTGCTTACCGCATCGTATACTCTGATCATCTACGATGCCAGCAAGAAAATCAGCGACACCGCGAGTGCCGGATACTTGAGCTCGCAGAATGGTGGTTACATCTTCGGGATGTACACACCCCAGTCTTACACCCCACTCAATGGTGAATATTTCATACCAATCATCCTCACTCAAACAGACTGCTAACCTTTGTCCAGAATTCAAGTGCGCCACCTGCAGCGGCGCTCTATCCGAAACCAGTCGTCTCGCCATCAAATTCACCGTCGGCATGGCCGTGATCACCTTCGCTTCGTTCACCTGGTTTGCGGGCAGTGCTGGTGTCCTGACCACTTGAAGAGCACCCACTCGGTGCACTCGAATTGACTTACCATGAACATATTCTTCCATTTTGGGGCGTTGCATTGTTGAAGCGATCTGGATTTACGATAATAGCAAGGAAACGGCGTTGCGTCATTTTTTTATTATTTATCTTTGTACACTTTTTGCATCTCATCCTTTCTCTTATCTATTGGTTCTATTTTTGTTAATAATAAGGGGAGATGGTCAATTGGAGATTTAATCTTTTTGTATTTTCGGTTTCTCACACAATCTAACATCCGTTGCATCGCATTTTCCATCCTTAATTTTCAGATACCCTGAGTTCTCCCTCGGTTTCACTGCGATTTAAATCCCATTCCGGGCACAGCAAGTCTCTCACCGGGGTGCTATCAACACATTTTACCCTAGGAAGTTACGGATCTAGAGCCCTCTTGTAGAGATTGTCTTTTCACCTCCCCGGAAGGCTATGCGTTGCAGATAGCCAGTGTAGTGGGGATAGGCCTTGTCTGCTTCATCCACCTTGAAGATTATGTTTTTTGCGGGAAGTGACTGGCTCATGATTTCCATGGCCTTGCTGGAGAACTTGCACGGTAACTTGATAGAATCTTGTGTCAAGGGTTCTTTCTTTGGTGGAGAGTCACTTGATGCAATGATATTGATGTTTTAGGGCTTTAGATCAATGAAATCAAAAAGTCAGGATCGAGACATTTTTAAAACATGAATGATTTAATGTTTAAGATTTATCATTTGCTTAGTCGCTGTGTTGCTTAGCCGTGGCCCGTAAGATTCATTTATAGATCTATGGCCAAATGACCCGGCTACATAGCGGTGTATATACTATAGCCCCAATCAAAAGAATAAATACATACATGTACTCTATGGTGATCGTCTAAATCATCCTTTTTTGCCTAACGGAAATATAAAATCTTCCATGCGCGCAGCCGTGATATTCCCTTTATTGTGAGCTGAGGCGTTCAGTCCCACCTCCCATGCAATTGTTTCAATTATTGCGCAAAGACAAACGAACAGCTTGATATCTTACTTCATACAATTGGAAATTGGAGTCTGTCTTACAGATAAAGAAAGCTGTAGGAAGTTATTCAAGCGGTTCATTGACTAAAATGAGAGCTTAGAAAATAAAGGAGGCTATTTAATCTCCTGCCCTTTCTCCAATCCATGAAACTAACACCTACCTATTTCATCTGTCCTAGTCTTCCACACCCAACATTCACTCCCAACTATCACCGAAAAGTATCCAGAGCCAAAAAAAAACAAACAATGCCCTCCCAACTAGGTTGGATCTGGCCTAAAGATCCACGCCCCGGCAACCCACAACACTGGCCACGCCGCTGGCGCTTCTTTGATGTCCTAACAGGCAAAGGGCCAGACATCTACGTGGGCCGAATCGGCCAACCCAAAGCCAAGACCAGAAAGTCATCCTCTCAACCCCGGTCAGAGCCCACAAGACAAGAATGGTCCCGATGGGAGAGCAACCCCAACGACCCTGACTCGAACTACAGCCCGCTCCCCTGGGCGCGGCGGCCCGTGGGCGACCGCTATGATTTCCGCACGAGGAAGTATCATACCCCGGACCATGGGACGTGGAGTGCTGTTGAGTATTGCAATGGAAGAAGGGCTCGAAGGGGGGAATGGACCGGGAAGGAGGAAGTTCATTGTATTCCGAGGCGATACTGGGATCGAAATGGGGCTGAGTATCCAGCGGAATTTTGGCATGACAATATTCATGGGAAGCATGCAGATTGAGGGCAATGAATGGGAAGGAGAGAAAGGAATCACGGGTATTGGGAGGGTGGTTTGCATGGTATTCTGTTAAATCCAGATAGATCGCTCGAATGCTTCCAATCAGGTTCCCCCTCAAGACTAAGATGAGATAGATATAGCCCATTGAGCCGATGTTCTTCCAAAAATTCCGTCTAAGACCCAAGAAAGAGTTAAATGATATTCCTCGTCTATTCAGGCCCCATGAACCGTCTAATCAGACGCATCCAGAGTGCAATGCGTCAAAGGTGTATATACGCGCTGGCCCATTGAAAGACTGTTCATTCGCCCGAGGGCGACGGAGAGTTGGCAGTTGGGCGCCGTTATCAGCCAGGCGATTGCACTTCACGCATGGTGTCTGCTTAATATCCGCATAGGAAGAAATCATGTCCTGCATCGGTATTAGCAAGAATATCCTTCGGAGTCAGGAACAGAACATACCAGCAAGAAAGCAAGGTCCCATTTCCGCGGGCGTGACCCCACACATTCCAGTATAGCATTCTCAAGTTTCGTGGGTGACCGACCAGCGATATTACTCGAAACCTCCCAGTCAGAGACCGGGGAGCCAGGAAAAGATATCCCTTTGATCTGGAAGACAACACCAGCTCTAACAAGTGCTACCGCTAGAGAAGTGCCATCCTGGCTCTTGATAACCCGTACACCGGGAATATCCCGCTGAACAAACCGCTCCAAGACATTCTTCCACTCGCCCTCGGTAGACTGCGCTTTGATACGTTCAGCCTCTTCGTCCTCTCGCTGACGCCCGTCTACTTTCGACTTTTCTTTTCGTGCTAGTTCTTCTAGAAGAACGTCATAATCTCTTTCCCACTTCCCTGTTGGCTGCAAGAGCTGGCCGTTGGCTTCCCTGATGCGTGATTCAACATGCGCCCAGACGGAGGTCAATTCCGGATCCCTCCACAAGGACTGAAATTGCTGGACATCAGCAACGCGTGCGCGTGCGGTTTCATCTAGACTAGCCCGGAGAATCCGTGGCGTTTCAGCGATTGGATTGCCGAGTGACACTTTATCTGGGTTTGCAATAGGCACCAGAGGCTCTAGTAGGCCCTGGGGCATGAATCCACGCAGTTCATGGATCTGGATATCTCATTAGCTTGGCTTTGTGGCAGAGCTGTAAGGGCTCGTGTACTTACCTTGCGTTCGAGTTCTTGTAGTTTGGCTAGTGATGAAACAAGCTGGATCTCTGACTCCATCCGTGAAGTCCCGCTATTGCTGGTTGCTGGCTCTTGGGTGGAGTTCTGATTGGTAGCAGCCATGGACGGGGCGGTTGACATGGCTTTTTGCGAGGGACTTGATCAAATAGTCAAACTCAACCCAAAAATACGCAACTTTCAGCTTCAGGAGATGAGTTATATATAGATATTTTTGGAATAGGCACTTGAGTTTCGAAGTGGATAATCAAAAGGTGAAAGACAAGAGGTTATCGCAATGATTGTTTTGTGGGCGATGAGATCACTTTGTGTTGTCTGTTATATAGTGAGAAATAAAAATGTCCAGCGCTAAATAAAAGAGTGTGCTTTGAGGCTGGATCAGAGATAATGATATTTTGTCGGCTCCAAATAATGCGAGGATGAGAGGATGTGAGAGATGAGATGGGCCGTGAACCAATCAGGAAATCTCTAGCCGCAATGCCTTGTGCCACATGTGGCGGATGTCATACTTACATAATCTTATTTTTAGGGATCTTCTAGTTAACTAACTTCATTTCCTTTGCATCTTTGATAACGGTAATTCAGTATAAAAATTATTTGATTATCAGTAGTTGCCTTGAATTACAGATTCATCAGACTATCTGTGTCTTTGACCCTTGGTAAACGGTCTTACACAACGTTATCATCGGTGCCCTTACACCCTGCCTGATTTTTCGCTACCCATCTTACCGCCCTCCACACCGCCTCAGTGTCAAACTCCCTAGCAAGACGGTAGATAGTTACCTAAAATTTGTATATAAACCACTAACAAAATAAGTCACTTTTATCGCATCAACTACTTCATCGTTAACAACTGCTCCAAAAAATCTTTGCTATATAGAATGACGATAGGACAGCTGAGCTAACCATAATCCTTAGACGAAGCTGCAGGCAGTATTCCCGGGCAGAGCCTCAAAAAGCGGGGTATAAGAAGCTCAGCCATAACACAAACAAACCCTTTTAAATTTCCAGCTTTCAAGACCACAATAGCAACAACGGCAGAAATGCTCCGTCTCAGTCAGCTGAATGCGCGTCTTCAGTTCCTGCGTTATGAGGGTGGGGATTAATTCCGGCCTCATTGGGATGAGTGCTTTGTTCCGCCTGATGAGCTGGAGAAGTCGCTTTATAATATTCACAATTTATTTAGATGGGATGGGGAATAGGATATGGAGGAGTTGCAGCCTCATATTGGGTGGACGAAGAAGAGTAATGTTATTTGCAAAGAACTGGGAGATTGGTCTTGCTGATGTTGGATCTGAGAAGGGTCCAGTTGGTGACAGGAGTTGTGCTTCAGTTGTGGGGTCTTCTGATACGACTGATACTCTTCTGAGTGGTGCAACTTCGTTTACGGCTGAGATGAACTCGAGGGAATCCGTTGGGATAGTTCCAAAGACGGGGTCCGTTATCATCTTTTTTCAAAGGCACTTATTCCATGGTGGAGATGATGTGTTTAGAGATTTCAAGTACACTCACTCTACGGGCTGATTTCATGTATACTTCTGAGTAGAGAAGTGGCTGTCTTAGGACTTCTTCATCGAGAAAGCTAGGTTCAATAATTGCCTCGCGACCAGATATGGAAGTTTCCTCCAGCTGAGGACGTACTCTGCGCACTTAGATTTGAAGGGCCTCAATGAAACCGAGGTCGACTGCAACACTATATTCTAACGAGCCCCATCCCACCACGACGAGCTTCATGTTCATTTCCAAGGCGAACGTTCCAGCAGGACGTGTTAACGGATCACCTACTACCCCATGTCACCATATCACCATATAATTCATTTAAGAGGATCCCTGGATCGACGCAAATTTGTTTGTGCTTGGAACATCCGTCGGAGGGCGTTCCTTGGACCGAGATTACGGATATGGCATTGTGAGATTGCTGACTCCCTCCCCCCGGCTCAGCCCATATATTGGTGAACCATGGGACAGTATATTCGTCAAGGGCACATAAGCGATATCAAGTGTTAACTATTGATAGAGGTCGGAGGCTAAAGGATATTCATTGGATGAGGACCAGTTGCTGATGGTGAGAATACTGCCTCCTAGGTTTATAAATAGAAAATATACCGCCTTCCTAGCCTGGAAAGTGCGCTGTACATTCCGACGTCACCGCCACGGTAAAACGCGGCTCCACCACGCCCAGCAACGATCTCTACCACTTGTTCGATATGCAGCGGAAAATTTAGTTCGATGTGGGGATTGACTGATGTCTGGGAAGGGACAGTGGCAATGGACCATGGCTCGCCTAACGTGGTACGTCATGTGAAATCAACCCTTGGAGAAGGCTTGCGATCTGACAATCAAGAAAAAGGCGAACCCTCACAGCCTCAAAGCTCATTTAAGGCAAGCAGTACTCCGTAGCCAGCACAACACCATTAAACGCAGGTCTCTATCTGAGGGACAAGCGAAAAGCTCCTGGCATAAGGGGCCTACCTACAATACAAAATACGAATGAGTGGGGGGAAGGACCAGCGAATCGGTGTTTACTGCGGCCCCGGATCACTCGATCCTTTCATTTTCCAACGCCTACCGAATGATAAATTGAAAGATCGTCTGCAATCTCCCGTAAGCGGCCACGAAAGACTTGGCGACTGATATGTGGCGAGACAAAAAGAAATGGTCATCAGGTGAACTGTTGGATTTAGGTCCCAACCATCCAGAACGGAGCCTAACTGGGTTCTTTTCCTCAACATTGAGTTATCATGATCTATTAATGTATAAATGTATCTATATACAGTTCTATTGTCCCGGATATGGAATGCGGTCCGGGAAGGCGGTATGTCGGCTATTCATCAAAGATGTCCACTTAGGCAATGTTCTCACCAATCAACAATATCCTTGGCCCACTTCTATCATTCTTCCGCAACGCCATTCCAAGGTTCCTAAGGGTGGCGTGGAAATCGTGGCGTAACCGGGGTTACAGGGTCCAGAATACATAGTTACCCTCGGAAATCAGATCATACAGCATTCATTATTGCTTCGTATAAGAGAATATGACACAGAGTCATCGACTGGTGATCGACAGCTGGTCTGACCATATTTGCGGGGTGAACCTGCAGCTGTAAAAATATCTGATTCGTTGGGTTTTGACGATGTCTTAGATAAAAAAGGAACTTATGTTGGCAACCATGTCGAGAAATAAACAAGGTCATAGAGAGGAATGCACAAATCAAATCATAGCTAGCAGGGCTGTCTCACTTCTACTGTTGTGGAGCAACGTATTTCGGGTCCACGGGTGTTACCTGACTCGACGTTACATTCATGTACCCTATAGTTCTATTTCGAGCTTGACGAAAGGGTTCAGAGTCATCTGCAATGAGCTGAAACTTGATATTAGATGATGGAGGAAAGTACTTAAATAGCTCCATCCCTCCCATACTGTCTGTCCTCTTCATTCTCACCAACATCCATCAAGACTAAATAATCCAATCAAAAACTCAACATTCCAACCATCATCATGCAGCTCACTCAGCTCCTCCTCGCTACCGGCCTCTTTGCCTCCTCAGCCTTCGCTGCCCCCGCCAACACCTCTGCCAAGTCCATGATGGCTGACAGCCCCCAGTGGACTCTCCAGAACACCAAGCGTGTCTGCGACACCGCAGACACCTCCTGCACCTGGACTTTTAGCATCTACCCCGGCGCCGGTGATGCCACTCCCTGCACCTACATCGTGGAGGGTACCCCTGCCTCCGAGGCCAACGGTGGCCCTGCCACCTGCGGCGGATACACCGTCACCTCCGGCTGGAGCGGCCAGTTCGGCGAGGGGAATGGCTTCACTACTCTTTCCATTGTCAATGAGGCTCGCCAGATTATCTGGCCTGCCTATACCGACAAGCAGCTTGCTGGCGGTGTGGTTGTCAAGCCTGATCAGAGCTACGCCCCTGCTGCTCTCCCTTGAATGAAGTGCTATGATGACTCGGATTATGGTCTGAATATTGTGTATACCAACCACTTTCCTTAATGACAACCAATGACAAGCGATTTTACCTGTTATTATATACATTTTATACTCAAAATTGGCTGTAGAAAAGAGGATAACCGCGTAGCATATAATGTTGTCCCTTACGCAATTTACCGAAGACAAGTTTACTTTTCATTTAAGCTCTGGGAAGGACAAGATGTTGCTTTGATAAATCCACCGAAAACCACTTAGCAATGATAGGAGTGGCGTCCGATATCCTAAAGCACTTTAGTGTCACTATAGGTCCAGTATACCTAAATAACGTTGAGATGCACTATATGTAGAATATTGATCCGATTATCGATACTATGATATATATAAATAACGAAATCGCAGGGAACAGCACTTCTAGAGTAGATCGAACTTTATACTCGCAATTGGAAGTTCATGGCCCAATACTTCCTCTTGGCACGCGGTCCGTTGAATATACACTCATTTAAAGCCAATACACCAAGAAAAGTGGAGAAGAGAAAGATACTGATGCATGCATCTCGTCTACGTGTCTGGCTAAGATTGTTGACCAACACAAGTGGGATAAACTGCTGATGGAATTCTAAATACTGCCATGAAGCCTTCTAAATAGCTTCATGGAGATAAAAGGACAAAGAAATAGTGGCCTGGAATCGGGGAAAGTGCCATGAAATCCGGAAGAAATGCCCAAAGCTACCTTTAGGCAATGCTGGACGTCATCACAAGCTTAGCCCCAAACCATGTTCTCAATCTCGTTATCCTGGGAAAGGGAGTCCGCATTGTCCATCTCTTCGTTTCCCTCGCGGTATCGCCATCTCTTCCCCATAACGTCCTTGAAGGTCTCAACATCTAGGTCTCCACGCATGATGGTCTCGGAGAAAGATCGGATCGGCTGAGAATCACCCAGAGGCTTCAATTTCACGTCAAGGTCGGGGGCGACGAACAAAACAGCACTCAACCGACGCACGCCCGGGGAACGGCGGACACGATGTTTGGCGGCGGAAACCCGGCCACCACTTAGGATAACCGCACACCAACCAGTCAAGACAACAGTGGCATCTCCGGGGACAGGAACCCATGTGCCAGGGGTTTCTTCGAGCTCCAGGCCGGGCGTGCCATCTTGGAAGATAATGGAAAAGGTTCCATAATCCGTGTGGGCTCCGCACCCATTCGATGATCCGGGAGCAGCCGTTTTAGGATTGTAATCACACAGGCGATAGTTCATATTGTATGAGGTGTGTGCCGCAGAAAGATCGGTACCAGCGAGGATGCTCAGAGAAGACAGTATGGTGGGTACATACTGAGCACTGATGGAGTTGAAGAAGGCGAGGACCTCACCCAGGCCATGAGGATCCAAGGACCCACGAAGAGATTCTGGAATCCGGGAGTTTCGCATGGGCGAGAGATCAATAGTAAATTTCTGATCCGACTCGGTCTTGTGTAGAGCGGCAGTCTTGATAACGCCCCGGTGAGGGTAAGTTGCATTGAGCTTAGCAACATCATCGGGGTGGCTGTGGAGATGATCAAAGAGGGCCTGAATAGCTGAGAACGGTGCCTTGGCTTCAATATTGACTGATGCAGTTGTGGAATTCGAGCTCAAAAAGGATACTGCCGGAGCTTCGGCTGGGCCAGGAAGAGGCGCAGCAATTGGAATCACCTGGGGATTAATAACGTTGGTAGCCATGATGGTCAAAGTTTCGATATTCAAAGTGATGAATGATGGAAGATTAGGAGTGAGAAGGAATAGAAGTGAAGTAGAAAAGGTGAGTCTACCGAAGGTGAAGCCCCACTTCAGGTGACATCACGACGAACAAACAAACTTCCTTGAGAGGTCCGTCCGTGCGGTCATAGTGCTATTTAGTTCTTGAGAACTGCAGTTGATTCTCATTGAGTCTCATGGAATTGCTTCCAATCTGCCAAGAATCTTGATACTAGCCCTACCGATGCAGTCTGATAGACAATCTTGGAGAATTGGTTGAAGTCTAGTTATGTGCAGGGGCTTTATATACAACCCTCTTAACAAATTATTTTGGATAGAGTTAGACATACATTTATCTGCAGCAAAATTCTCATCGGATTCCCAGATTTGTATGACCTACTAGTAGAGTGCTTAACTCGCAATAAGTATAACTTGAGAACCTTTATAGTAGTGACAGCAGTTCTAATGACCTCTCAATATCAGTTCCTATCAGACTTGTATATATAGAAAATTCCAAACTCAGCCGGAATACCGGAAGCGTTTATTTTGAAGATCCGTCTGATCTCCGAGCCCAGACAACATACTCAGCCCCCCCGCACTCCTGACATACTCGGGGTTCTCTCGAGCGCGCGATTCTCGGCGATTATTCTCTACTCGCATGACAACCCATGTAGTCGTGGAGAGAACAATGTATATCGAAAGACAACTATTCACCATATTAGCATCCTAGACCACTAGGCTTCGAAGTAGGGAAACCCACGCTAGCACAAACGCCAGCCCAGTATGATACTGAGGGCTTTCCTCTCCTAGGAAGGTTTGAGGTGTGACGATATTAGCAACGCAGTAGAGGAAGAAGGCGGCTGATGTGACCGTTTGTTTCCGCGTAAATCCTACAAAGTTGGCTCCGATTATAGACATGATTACCGTATAGTTGACGCCAGAAGCCGAGATTATAATGCAGCCCGCGAGTCGACGGTGTTGGTACTGTTCTTCGGGGGGAGTCACGTATAGAATGATGATACCGATAACGCCAACGATACTAGCTAGGGCTGCAAGTGGCTGTTTCTTGTTGCGGAAAAAGACGAAGAATGTCGGAGGACCGGAAACTAGGAGTTGCGTAACGGCCTTGAGTGCTTTTTTAGCTTTCTAAATTTTAGATGATGGAAGGAGGTGGCTCTTTACCTGAATGGCGTAATTGGGGGCGGTATATAATTGTGCCTTCAGTGCAGTGTACCCAAACCCCTAATCTATCAGTAAGATGATAAATGACTAAGGTACTCGTTCGGGTATTACCTTGATCACAATCCCGAGAAAGTTTGTTGTCACACTCCCAGCAGTCTGGGAGAATAACATCTGTAAGATTAACAACCACGCATGCGGGTCTCTCAATGTTCCCTGCACCTGCTCCCACTTGAAATGAGCTATAGAAGATGATTAGTACATGATATCAAACAGGTTCCTAGGTGGCTTACTATCTTTAAGTCCAAGCTAGGCCTGGGCAACGCGCTTGACAGCTATAGCCCTTTCTCGCCCACTTAGCCATTTTGCAGACTGTGGCGCATCGGGCATGAAAACAAACTAGATAAATTAGGCTTTACATCGGAAATAGTAGACTGCACATATCATAAGCACCCCTGTCAAACTGCTCAAGAGACCAATGGTGAGGAAAATGAGCCGCCAGGATGTCTGCAGACGTTAGCTATAGCAAAGCATAAAGACAAAGATGAACCTACTAACTATGGGACCTGTTGTGACATGACTAAGCCCCGCAGTTCAAAGTTAGATTTTTTGAAAAGAGGGATCTGGTAGCATACCGACCATAGTAAATGATTAAGAAGGGCACCGGAAGAGCACCGTTTGTCATAGTCCACAAACCAAACCGCAGAGGCTGCTCTTCTTGTGTATACCTTCATCTCATTAGCATGAATAGTATATTGCCAGATATCCCACTAACCACATGGTTGTGCTGAAGAACAGTGCATTAGCTTATATCTTATACCCATCCAGATTTGTTCAAGACATACACAAGCAATAGTCCAGGAATAAGGCATGATTCGAAAAGCCTAAGGTCTTATCAGCCACAGATTTTATTGCCAACAAATGAATATGTTGTACCCAAGAATGAACCTCAATACCAATATTAAAGCAAATTCGTGGCCCCAATACAACATAGCAAGGCATCACCCATAAACTTTCCAGCGTGGAAATATTGCAGGCCGCGACCAGAGAAGAAAGACCCTGTAAGGTATCCAAAATAGAATATCTGTCCCCACCTTCATTAGTGGTCTTGTCTTGAGAGGGCCAAGCCGGGGAGCCATACAGAAACACACCAAGAGTACTCTTGGCCAACAAGGTGAAGATCATCGCGAAGACCATATGTCGTGGCGGCCAAGACCAGACTATAATATCGCATAAGAATCCATGGGATGGTAGGAACTGCTCTTTCATATGTACCTTGTCCACAAATCGTAGACCGCAGACCCAAGCAGCGAGGGGAACAATTCGCCAATCAATATTTCGCAGTAGCTTTCGATGTTCTAATCTGTTAGGCCGATAGAGACTACAAAAGTGGTGAATACTCACCCTCGGCCGGGTATTCAATACCCTCCTGGTCCATTAATATCTGGGCAATATCATCCAGATTGTTGTCATCTCCATTTCCCTTGCCCGTTGGGGTTAGAGAGATAGCCTCTTTCACTTCATCCACATGCTCCCTCGAGATTGCCGTCGGAGTAGGCTGCGGGAAGGACATTGTGGCAGAAATTCGAAGAAGAGTAGATGAAAGGTTATTGCTAGCTGACGGACATACAAGGAGGCTTATAGATGATTTCCACCACATATACCTTTAACCCTAAAGCTTACCTAGCTCAATAATCAGAGTCCGGTCATTTATTTCTGAAGTTGGTGTTTAAATTTATTAGTCTGAGATCCACAGGCGTTTAGGTCTTGGCCTCTTAGATCGGCAAATGAAAGGGCTTTGCTACTGGTCGACCGTAACAAGATTAACTGTAGGAAAATCCAGGGAAATTGACCCCAGATTCCAGCCCTAAGACTCACGAAATGCGGGGAGCTAGCTAGAGGCCTCATCCAAGAAAAACCGGCCGTTTTAAATTGCCATTACTAGTTCATTCACTTTATGGATCGAAAGTGCTGCTTTATCCCAGTTAAAATCGCTGCCCCAACAGTAAAAATGCACCATTCTGCTCATAATTTCACGCTTCTTTCTTCAATTTTGATGCTTAAGGCCTATAAGCCATGTATTGACGACCTTTGAAAACATGCCCTTAAGTTATTGTGAGGTGTCAGGTCACGTGTAAATAGAGAAGCATACCAAGATGGAGAGAAAGAAGAAGTAAGTTACAAAGTGGGAAACGGCCTGATTATTGCGGAGCGAAGCGAAGCAATTAAATCATAACCTCGCGGGCATGTCACGTGACCAGGTCTTTTCTCCTATGGGCTCCAAAATCATAAGAAGCTATGCGGTCAGCTAACTTTGGCAGAATATCCTAACCGGCAGAATAAATAGACTAGAGAAAGAACCATCATTATCTTCCCCAGAGCTTCTACAGTCACACTTTACGTAGCATTAGAAGTTAGAATCAGTCGTTTTGCTCTGCAACGACTATCGGGCGGCCGCAGGCCGTCCAGATCCCTCGTATAGTTGACCCTTTGCAAACATTGCAAACATCGAACCTTCTCGCTTAGCAAACATAAACAGTAAATTGTACGAAAAGCGGCCAGAAAAGCGGTGAACTTTTATGGTAGGCGGTCAGTTGAAGCCTAAGAGATCAGACAGCAGGAGTCCGAATAAACCAAAAGGGGGTCCCGAATAACCATGTGGGAGTCTCTGATACAATCCCCTATGGCGCAAGTATCCGTATTTTTTGTAGAAGAATTTCAAGGAGCGATACACTTTGGCGAGGTCATCAACCGCTGTTTCAGGCGCCCAGAGGTCGGACTACACGTGACCAGTATTACACGTGACCGGTGCTTTGCCATCGCTCCTTTCTTCCTTCACCAACACTTGCCTCATCTCTCAGAGCATGTTTCCTTTGGCACCTCTGTGCACGACTAGATCAAATCATGTCGAATCTTGACAACCTACATCCCACGGAGATTTGCTTCCAGAAGAAGATTTTTGCCTCTTCATATTCCGTAATATTTCTTGTCACTGTCCGCGGCCAGACATGTGTTATGAAGGTGGTGAGTCAAGCCAGCATAAGTAGCTTTGACTACCGAAATACTAACATGCGAAGCATCACGGAAGGGGCCCACGGCAATATTACGAACCAGAGAACTGTGAACTCGACATCCATGTGCTTGAAACCACTGCCTACACCCAACTCAAAGACAGGGGTCTATGTGACCGTGGAATCGTGCCCAATTTCCTAGGGTCTATGAGGAAATTCGATCCATCTGCGTGCCTACCCCACTTGAAAATGTTCCTGGACGACGAATACCCACCTAGCGCCATATTCTTGGAGTATATCACCGGTCTGGAAATGATCACTCTAGAGAATTATACGCAGCAACGGATGGATAATCTCATCAGTGGTATCCAACAAATACATAAGGCCCTAGTGCGGCACAGGGATCCCAAACCAAGGAACATGATGGTCGTTACAGGTACTGCCGAAAGAGTGGTGTGGATGGACTTTGATCGAGCAGAAACCTACGACGAACATCAGATCACCAGTGAACAGGAGCAGCTTCTCAGAAATGAAGAACAAATTGTTGTTGACATTGGCGATTGCCTTGTGAGAACTCCTCCCTCTGAAGGCATGTGCCATGACGTTGTCTAACCACATTCACCAGGCCTGCGACCATGCAAAGGGGAAACTCGACGAAGCATATGTTTTTTACTGCAACTGATGATCAAGCTCTTCCTTGGCCCCGATTTACTAGGTTGTAGCTGATCTTCCGAATTGAACGCTCTGTCACAGATTCTTCATAAGCCGCTTAGATCTGGTTTTCCCATCATTTAGCTGACGCAGGTCTGAACGGGCATCTCTGAAATACCGAAGCGAAGGCTCGGCAAGCCCACAACTTTCAACCGTGAGACCTCACACAAAGAGCCAAGGGTCTCTCGGGGATAACCCGGCCTTCGGGGCTTCCAATGTTGATTTGCATATTATCACTACTCAGCTATGGAGGTCCAAGTAGGCATACCTACACCTCATTCAACTCGACACAACAAACTCAGCCTATGAAGCAGAAAATTCCACAGCATTGGGGTCTGGCGCGAGTCCGAATTGAACATCATTTTGCAAAGACACGGAAACGTTCTTAGACAGACACGCCTTCCACCGAATCCTCTACCGACCTCGCCATCACATCGGAGAATGCTTTGATAAGTACGATATCCGACAATATTTTTCCAAGAGTTCGACGTCGGACAGTATGCAATAATTCTAAATTCCTTCACACCTGATACTTCATTTTACCCACTTGGAGTTCCGGAAGGCATAAGCTGGAACCACGCTCCTAGAGATATCAAGCTGTCTTGGAAATGGAACACTGCTATAGCAGCATATCCCAGATATACCGTGCGCATGGAGTACTGTCAACCATTTAGTTAAGTGAATTGGTATAAGAAGTAGCACTATTCTCGATATAGATTTCTTATAACTAACCGAGAACTGGTTATGTTTCGACGGTAACCTTGAACTTGTCCCGACTATTCCATTCACTAGTGGTAGAACTGCTGCGCAACCACAATTGACAGTCTTGTTAGCGCTATGGTACCTGGGTATGCTCGCTGCCAATGATCAAGGAGCTGGTCGCTGGAATATGTAGGCAATATCCAAATCAGGCCACAATGCGCGCCAGAATCCTTTTCTATTTTTTATGTACCGTTGCTTGCTTGGTTGTTTTGTCGTTACTTGATTAGGTAGTTTTTCAGACCTCTCTTTGCCCGTGTATGACTATTGTTTCGTTTTCGTTGTCCCTATGAGCTTATATATATGGATCTATGGCAGTTCTCTCCACAACTAAAATATCGATCGATCACTTCTTGCTCCTTGCTTCCACAATTTGATGCTCCATATCTCCACTTTATCGCAGTATTCAAGTCCTAGCGATATTACAGCAATGAATCTGGTGGCGATAGATGAGTTCTAGTATAGATACTGCAAGTAGAATTGAAAGTATAGAGAACAAGAATAGTCGGCCGGTTATTCCAACAACAATGTTATTATTTTCAAATTTAATAGACCACCGTTGTTGAGATATCAAGTTGTAATTTATCGAACTTACTATGTGTTTTGGACTGTGCCGTTCATTTGTGCACCGCTCGCATGTGAGATACGTTATAGGTAGTTATACCTTGTTTTATAATTATCAGGGAATGTTTAAAAGGACAACGCGCTGATTCTAATTAGCTAGTATCAATTTGACTGTAAAAACAGGAAGAGTGCGGCACAACTACCACCTGATGATCTTCGTGGGGAAGTACTCATCAATGAGCTCCATGTAGTAAGGCTGTCCAGTACCGAGTTAGCATGCATCGCGGTAGAATCCAAATATCCAAGGGTCAAGCTTACCTTCAGCTTCTCAGGATCTGGGACTTCGTCGCTCTTGCTGTACAGATCGTAAGGGTTGAAAGCCCTCACAGCTTCCAGCATCTTATGATCATGTTCATTCATCAACTCATGGTATGCGTTCTCCCGGTGCCACGGGTAGAATGAATGGTACCGAATCATTGCCAGCCCCTCCTCGGGAATTGTGGACTGATCTTTGACGATATGGTAGAGGTACTCGTCGTGGCCCCAGCAAAGCATGACGTTATCCAATCCGCAGCCAGGAGAATAGATTCCAAACTTGGTGCTATAGATCTCGTTGTTATAGTCTTCATTGTCCTTGAAAGACTTGTTACCGAAGATAATCTTGTCGTCGAACGCACAGCCAACTGCGAAGGTATCGCCAACAACATCCCACTGACCCTTGGCCCCGAAGAAAAAGAGAAGCTTGCCAAGATCGTGGATGAGTCCGACCAACTGCATCCAGCGAGGCTTTCCCTCTTTGCGGATTGCTTCAGCGGATTGCAAAAGGTGGGTCATCTGGGACTCGGAGGTATCGGGGTCACATTCATCGATGAATGTATTCAGCTTTTCCATCGCCTCCCAAACAGTCATGTGTGCACGAGTCTTGGTTTTGAAATCGTTGCGTGCTTTCAGGTTGTATGCTACCGTCTGAAGGGTGTGTTGCTGGGCATAGAAGTTTTTGACTTGGTCACAGGCATCCTCGAACTGACGGAAGCCAGCCTTGTCTTTGGACTTGTCGAATTCGGATTCATCGTAAAGTCCTTTGTCTTGTTTGAGGTCTGTCTTATGGACATTGACGGCATCGATGTTGTCGGACATTGTCTCGAGGCTGATAGGGGCGGACTGAACTGCGACGGCCATATTTGCGGGCTGGTTCTCTGTTGGTCTTGTTTGGTTTTCAAGGGATGTGACGAGAAAGATAATCGAATGGAAGGTCTTTGGCTCTATTGCTTCATCGGAGGGTCTACAGCGAGACACTTATAGCCTGAGCTAAGGGATGTATTGAACAATTCCCGGATCGTATTTTCCGTGGTGATAAAGCAGTTTCAAATTGAACGCTGGTTATTGATCGGTTCTTTTCTTCCGCTTCCTATGTCATTATTATCTCTGCCGATATATGATGACCACCATGACTTGATGTGGAAAGCGGATTCCGTGCTGTCTTGATTCGTACACCGGGGCGTAGCTTCTTAATTATTAGATGTATTAAAAACCAGTAGCTTTCAAACAGGCCACAGTGGGTTATTATGGTCATTTTTCGTGCAGCTCCGATGTATGTTGCCTCTGGTGAAAGCTAGAACTCATGAAGTATTATCATATCGGAGTGTACAGAAACTTATATCTTCTATCTGATGAACATATGACAATATCGTAATCACGACTAGAACCCCAGTTTGCGTCTCGCTCATCACCCCGATATAGCCTTCGGCATTTAATATCATCGAGCACGGAAACTTCATTTTCTCACCGGAGACCTCAGTCTTCTGGACAAGTGCAGACAAGCTTGTTATCCCTTAGATCGGCTAGATTAAATCCACATGATAGGAGTGCCTGAGGTATCTAGGTTCTGATATGCGGGAGTCTGCCAAGTAGATCAGACCGGAATTCGGGGATCTCATGTTATGTTGCTGTTATGTTGCTAGTATATGTTTTCAATTCGTGGCTGATGATAGGCGAACTAAAGATAGGACAAAATGCGGGATGCGCCCCCCACACTAAAACAACCTTATTTCTCGGCCTTCATTTTCCGGAATATCCATGCATGTACGTATAGGATGTAGTCGCCACTTTGCTTACAGACAAATTCGGAATTATCGGGGAACTGGTTTGTTTGAGCATCCATCCCTCATCTGTCAGTGCCCAGCAGAATGACTCTTTCTTACATGATATCCTTTGCTGTTCTGGTGACCTTGATAACCCAGGGCTACTCATACATGTACTCTGCCATCCATCATTGCTTACGAGTAAGACTTCCTAGCCCAAGTTTAGAAATGCCTTCCACGGGTCATGGATTCTTCGATTGATTTAGCGGTAGTATAGGAATCTCTTGCATTTAGAGATTCCACATTCGTTATGACTGAGGTCATCGATTGAATATTTAATTATAAGACGAAAAGACGAACTCATCGAAATTTAAATAATGTCCAATATCTTGGTGCGTGCAGATCAACTGATACGCAAAGCACTGCGCTATGTGCCCGAGGATCGAGGTTTTGCTTTTCGAATTAGATCTTCATGCCATTTCAAAAGAATATACAGATTAGCCTAAAATATAAGCAGCCTGCTTGGAGAGGCATCATAATCTACAACCCCTCAATATTCGTGTGTCGAGCATTCTCAAGTCCTCCTTCTTTCCATGGCCCGAATATCCAATAGTACCCTGCTTGTCCCGATTGGGTAACATTAATGCCTGATATCCAAGGCAGAAGTCTTAGAAATCATCGGCCTCCGGGCCACCGTAACGCCGAGCTTATTAACCTTATCAGCGTTATCCCCCAGCTTCGTCATCGCTCTTCGCACCCTAGATCGAACATCGAATAGAAAAGCCTCAAGTTCGGACAAAATTGGTGATCAGAATTCCTCAAAGCATTGATCTAAATTACTGAGAATTTCCTTTCCTATCCTCCCAAAATGAGCTCAACCAACAACGTCGCCTTCACCGCCCCGATCAACCCACCAGGCGCAAGACCTGTTATCACCCCCGAACAAACCTGGAAGGGCCTCCTCCTCAAGATCCGCTCCGCAGAAACATTCGTTCCGGGAGCAATTCAATCCACCAGGGTCGTCAGTGAATCCATCGACTCATTAACTGGGAACGCCGTCACCGTTCGCGAAGTCCTCTTCCGCGAAACCCAGAAGAAGGTTCTAGAGACCGTTACAGCTTTCGAGCCTGCCCGGGTAGACTTTGATCAGCCAAATGGAAGCAAGATCAGCAATGTGATTAGTCAAGGAGCTGGTGGAGAGCTGTACATGACGTATATCTTTGAATGGAGACACCCAGGTGTCTCGGAGGTTGAGCTGGCGGAGCTACTCGAGAAGGAGAAGAAGATGAGCCAGGCAGCGGTTGAGGGAACAATCAAAGTGTTGAGGCAATTGGTTGAGGAGAAGAAGCTTTGAAGTTGATGATTGGCGGGAAACGCCGTCCTTGACAATCATGAAACCCGTCTTCGACCCCCGATCATGCCCTCAGTAAACTTGACCCCGTAATCACCACATCTTTGATGTGGGGTGCTCTCAGAGTAATGATTCAGCAGAACTTTTCTTTTAATAGCCCTGTCGCCAGTCATGCTAGAAGCAAGTAAAGCAGTCGTGGGCGAGTCGAATCGTTTCCGCCGAACGAGCGACTTCCATATAAGGTTCCATGAATCTTCAGTCACATAGTCAACGTCCTCCGAGTTCATCTGGCGGAGAAAGGTAACTTGTTTCTTGACAGAAATTAGTCGAATAGCCTGAGCCCATTCCTTGCGTGTCAAAAACACCACATCAAGCTCCAGCTCCGTCAGCCCCTCGCATAGTCTCAGTAGACCCCAGCAGTTTTCAATGTCATCCCATTCATTCCAGATCGAACCCGGCACCCATGTATTTGTACTGGGGATACCGGCAGTCAGATAAGGATGAAGAGGCATAAACGATATCCGTTTTAGCCACGATCTCACTTGCGGGCGGATAGCAGTCAGGAATCCCGTTAGGAGGGAGGGATCCTCGAAGGCGAACCAGTTCTCCTTCCAGAAGATCGGTGCAGCATCGTTCCAGAATCGCTTGCTGGCGAGCAGAATGGCTAGATTCTCATGTCTTCCGCATAGGCATGGTAAAAACTCTATGCATGGAATCCCGTCAACACTTCCGTTCAAGTCCCAGTAGCAATTGTCACAAAGATATGGGTTCTTATATGGCTTTGCCCACTGGCTTCGTGCTGGTGATTTGAATATCGGGACTTGTGCCCGATTCCAGGTGTAGCTACGGCAGGCTGCACATTGGGGGCCTTCGAAGCTGTCGATGTCCTGGGGATGTGGATCTGGGCCTGGGCTGCAATGGCGTATAGGCATTTTGCATGGGTAATAGTGTTCCAAATCAAATTTGCATCGCTGGACGAGAAGTTTTCTGTAAATGATATTCCTGATCTCTTGTGGAAGGGAGAAGAATCTAGGGTTCCAATGTTAGGAGTAGAAGTTTCGATAGGGATAAGAGGATATACCTCTTGAAAAGGGGGGACTCTTCGTGTTCCAAAGGTTCGGTGAAATGTGTCTCCTGTACATGATGTGCCTTTGATCTTGCCTGTCGGGCATGTAATTCTCGGCGTCGTGTATACCGATGAAGTTTAGAGGATTTCGCCATTTATGCGCAAATTTAAGAATAAAACTTAGATAATTGTACCTTTCACACTTCCAAGGCTGGTTAACTATGTAGGATCTTAAATAGTTACATGGTTGCAGTCCCCTGAAGTCCAAAGCTACGCCACAGTAAGCACTCAGCCTTGTGGTAACCCGAAATAGAACCGACCCTGCCGAGCCTGTGGCGCAGCACACCGGACATTTAGAATGAGAACAAACACTGCCCTCTGCAGAATGATTTATTTGTAATGTTTGGGGTGGTTGCAACATTAATCTGAGGTGTTCGATTTTGTTTTGGTTTTTCGGGACCGGGGAGGGAAGGACTCCGTGAATCATGAATAATGCCAAGTCCCGAATTGGCAGCATCATGAGGGTTACCACCGCTGCATTCACGTGCACGCTTAGACAGATACCATGGTTGGGCTGGCAAGGAGAGGGGCGCCAGAGTGGTCCCTGGAATCAATTAAGATGATATTTTGTCAAGGGCTTCTTTCTGACGGATTGTAAGAGCAAAAGTCAAGAGCCTGCCGGAAATCCGGATGATTTGTATGTGAGAGCTTGCTCCATCGGTCAGGCTGAGAAACTTTCGTTGGAAACATGTCTTCTCGGGCAATTTTACCGAAGAAGCATGCTTGCTTTACGGATGATACAGCAACCCCATTTTAGGTCTCTCTGGGAACAAGGTATGCTAGCGTCAGCCTTGAATTCACTATCTATGGATGCAATAAATTCAAAGGGCTTAGCCTCTTTAGTGGTCAATAGCTTCTAGTGCAACCCAAAGACCCGTAGCTAGTTTTCTCAGACGTGTCCACTTTTCTGGATTTCTTTTCCAGCCTCACTGCCCCAGCCAAATCTCCCTGGGCCTTTGTGGAGCCTTTCCAACACCATCAAGCGCATCAGCACACTCTAGATACAGTGTGCCGTGTGCTCGAGGAGCACACGTGACAATCTGTGTAGCTCAGAGTCCAGACAGAGTTCCCCTTCGTAACATTTGCCCCACCGAGAGATCCAGATTCTCCATCTTCAGATCCAGAGCCAACTTCGGCATCGATACTGGCAAAAACAGCGTCCAGCTCCTTGCACAGGTCGTCGGCAGTGATGGCAACAACCTCTTCTTCCATGTTCTTGAGGTAATACCCTCCATTCTCGGCGTAGAGAACTGTATCCGAGTGAATCTTGACTAGATCGTTGAGGGATTGTCTGTCATGGACGACAATGGCGTGGTCTGGTACCGAGTAAGAGCTTCAACCATGGTGGCCAAGAAGGATAGGAAGTACACAAGGTAGATGAAGGTGGATTGCATATCCGAAGTCGTGAGGGGGAACTTGAGGGTAGTACTACTACCTTGGGTACCTAGTGTAGTGGGGTATCAGGATCATCATGTAGTTAGCTGCCCTGTTGTTCAGGCAGAAAGGTATTTTGGCTCACCATATCAAATCGAAAGGACTGAGCGTTTTACCAGGATATTTGAAGGTTGAATTATTATCGAGGCTTCATGATCTCCTATACTTGCTAGCTGGCCTACTTGGAAGGTTGGTTGCTCTGCCAGACTACCCATCGTGCCTTTCCTCTTCACTAGGTACTGCCAGGGCTATGTAAGCTAGCTATTTCTCTCGACAGGCAGCAATCAATTTAATCATAGGCAGCCTTGACCTTGGGAGATGCCGTTGCGCCAGGGAAGACTATACAAAAGTATTGCATTATGACTCATTAAAGCTCTAGAGTTGTTATTCAGGCATGAGGAATCAGCACTTTTCCCTCAGACACGCTAACAGCAGTGCCCGTCAGCACAACCTGTTCAATACTCTTGTCGCCAGACAACGTAGCCTCAACACCAATATCACTGCGGCGTCCCATTTCAACACCCTGCACAACGTGATACTGATAATTCTGACCCCCCTTACCCTCCGTAAGTGTCAAGTACGCCGCCAATCCACTAGCCGCACTGCCAGTAGCCGGATCTTCCTCGTTCCCCAGTATCATCCTAGACCGTATAACCTTCTTCTTCGTAACACTATCTTCAACATCCCGAACAATGAAGTACACGCAGATTAACCCAGCCCTCCACCCTTCATCAAGATAATCATAAGAGATCAGCTCACCGCCGGTCGCGGGCGTCACAGCAGCCAGTGCCTCAAGCGAAGGAAGCTCAATGAACAACTGACTCATCCCATTGACAATGGAAAAGAGCGGGAAAGTAACATCTGGCCGCGTGAAGAACGGCGCTAGCGTAGGGTGCAGCCTCACCAATTCCTTCAAGCTGACCCGCGTAGCATGGATGCGTGTGTTGTGCGCAATCCGCGCAGCGACGTATTTGGTCACGCCGTTCTGGACGGAGATGGGGATGTCGCCGGACTTGGTCGCGAGGGTGGTGACGCCATCGCCGTCAGCGGGGTCAGTTGAGTGACTCAGGAACCAGGAGGCTGCGCCAATGGTAGGATGGCCTGCGAAGGGGATTTCGCAGTCTGTGGTGAAGATATCGATGGTGCGCTTGCTTTTCTCGCGTACTGGGTGCACAAAGATACTCTCCGATAGATTGAATTCCCGTGCGATTGTTTGTTTCTGGCTCTGCGTCAGAGCGTTTGAGTCGTCTTCCGGGAGGAAGACAACTGCTAGCGGGTTGCCGAAGTAGGGTGTCGAAGTGAAGACATCGAGGGTAACGAATTTGAGATGGGTCATGTTGGGATTTGGGCTATTGGTATATGTCGCGGATATCGGGGATGTCGGATGGTTTTTATAGTTGCAAGTCCCCCACTTTTCGCTTTTGACTCACAGACATGCCCCCCTTAGAACAATTCAAGTATTTAAACGAAAGAAGATGTGTGGAATTTGCACAGATATCCGACGAATAGGACAGAATAACAAATTCTCATCCTCCAGAATGCCCAAGATGCCAACCGTCACATCAACTATCCCGGCCGGTCGGTGCAGCTATGAAACACCGTTGCGCCACACGTCCAGAGAATGTCTGTACCTTTTTACTATACTTGTAAATTTTCAACCACCCAATGATCAAATCTCCCGGTGGAGAAGGGATATGTGATCAATTGGAACGAACATCCAAGCTATAGCATTCGACCCATTGACCAGGCGACAGTCATCACAGAGATCAACAAGCGTAAGCCACATGTTTGACAAAACTCGTCCCTCGCTCGCAGGACTGGCGCATTCCCTGGGGCTCGGCGTGGTTGTAAGGTGTCAGTTTGTCTATGCTGGATAGAACGATAACCTGCAGATAGGAAATATGAAATCGTAAAATTGTTCTCGTTGAGCTTAGGTATCCGATGCTTTACAATTCCGTTTCCATCTCAATGCCAAACGCCTCATCAGGTCATCATAATCGAAACATATCACAAATATCAAAGTGAGCTCACTATTCAGAGTCACTCTCAATCACAAATCCACCGCGCATACGTCTCCGGGCTAGAACCACAGGCTCATCTTCCGCGTCATCGTCTACAGAATCGGGCTCCGTAGCTTGGGGCTTGCTAGGATGATCTCGAGTGAAGGCGAAATCATCATCAAAAGCAAGATCATCATCACTTGACGTGGGACGGGTATCTTCGTCTTCTCCGGCGCCATGACTAGTAGAGATTCCTTGCTGGGAGTGAGATGATTGAGCGTCGAGTTCTGCCATGAGGATATCGCCATCCGCATCACTCCCAGCCTCGCTAGCAGCAGAACCAGAATCACGACGTTGTCGCTTGGATTTTGCGGCTGCAGAAGTACCAGTGTCGCTAGTTCGCTTGCGGGCGGCAGACTTCTTCCCTCTGCCCTTTCTAGGAGGCTCGACGGGTCCAGTGAGCAACGCCTTCTTGATTTCTTTTGCCTGTTGAATTCTCCGCTCTTCTTCGAGTCGGAAGAACTCTTTGTCGGCTTCTTCATCGCTTTCTTCGTCGCTGGCATGGATGAACAGATCACTCTTGATCTTCGCTTGGCGAGACAGTGCGTTTGATAGACGTGCATCGCGCCGCGCCTCTAGAGTTTCTTCATCCAGTGGCTCCGTTTCGGTAGTGGCTTTTTGCTTCTTCTTACGCTTCTTTTTGAGGTCATCCAGCGCACTAGACTTTGACCGCAGATTCGCTGGGAATAAAGGACCATCTAGAATATCCTCACCTTCAGACTCTGATCCGAAGTTAACATCAAGCGTGCCTTGAGTAGTGCTGCCGCGACCGCTTCCTCTGTGCTTTGGTTGGATCTGCTTGCGAGGATCATCATTGGCATCCCCGGAGAACGGGTTTTGAAGGGCTTTCAAGATTTCAGAAACCGTTTCACGCAACTCGTCGGACTTGAGAGACGCCGGGACGACCCAAGAGGCACCAAGCACATCTTCAACGCCGAGTCGCTCGAATCCGACGACGGTCATGAGCAGACGTAGCTTTGCGTTCGAGAACATGGCATTCTGAACAAACTCGTTCTTGCCTTTGACAGCTGTTTTGTTGTTAATATCAGTTGAGAAATAGGGTGTTGGGGGAACATACGAATCATCGGATTGGGAACGCCGGTAGTCTCGGAGTTCTCAGCGCGATTTACTTCTTCTTGGGTTTCCCAGTCCTCTCTTTCGGAGGCTGCAGAGCTCAAGATATCCTTGATCCAGGTAACCAGATCTGCTCTACCATCGAGAACAAGAGCACCAACCACGATGTGCAGTTTCGCTTCCCTTGTCGTCGCCTCCGTCGATGTAATCATGAGCTCCGGCGGGGGACGCTTATACGTGGAAATCGTTTGCTTTTCGTGTCCATATTCAAGGTAGTAGATAGTGGAGTTGATCTTGCTAAACAGCAATTCAGTGACCAAGGCAGGGCGCTGCTCAAGCTTTTTGACTAGTCGTCGAATGATTTGCCGGACCAATTCCTCCCATTCCTTAAAGATGAGCTCGTTTGAGTCCATGGGGCCTGGGCCTTTGATCATTCGATAGAAAAGGCCGATGATATCCACACGAAATAGCAAGACAGTCATCTCCTGCTTGAAGGCAATACGGTAGAAATATCGGTGGGCGCGTTTGAGCTGCTCAGGGTTGAGCTCTCGGTAGAATCCTGTGAATGAAATGAAGGTATCCACGCAGTTTTGGTTGCAAAATTTGGCTGAGAATCGCTTAAAGTCAAAGCTGCGTTCCTTGGTGACCTGGGCGGCTTCCTCCATATCTTCATCTTCAGAATCACGCTCCTCATCATCATCTTCTCCCTCTTTTTCGGCGACTTGAGCGGCCTTCTTTTGCTTCTTTTTGGCCTTTCGCCGCGAGCGGATTTGCATGTCGGCGTTGTCTTTGGAATACCGTTCCAGCATTCGCAGGAATACATGTGCTAACTCCGTGCAGGCATCTAAATAGCCAAAGCCTTGATCTTTGTATCCGCGCACAATAGTAAGGATCCGGTCATGGGTTGTTTCTTCGTAGAAAATGCGGTTTTGAATATTCTCCGCAATTTCCTGATCTTCTTCGAGCGGTGACACTGCCATTTCCTGGACAGTCAGCAGAATCTGGGTGAAGCAGCGCATCTGGGCATTGATATCTTCCCATTCCTTGTTGTCTAGGCTATTCTGCATAGCACGGTTCAAAGAAATGAACGTCTCTTGGTTCAGGACGCCAGCAACCAGACCATAGCTATCGGGTTCAATATCTTTGGTTCTTCCTCCATTCTGAGCTGTGCGATGACGGAGCTGTCGAGTCCGCCGTATGCGCTCCGCTTCAAGGAACCAACCCACTAGGTAGAAGAATTGGCGATGATTTATCGGTACGACACGCTCGGCTTCACGCTCGATTGCTTTTCGCACATGGGTGAATAGAGGATTGAATCCAGAATCCAGGAACTCCTCCACGAAAGTCCTCAGGTTCTTAGTTGCCTCGGCACTAAGGTGAGCTGGCATGTTGAAGTTATTATTTTGGTCCACATCTTCTTGTCTGCGACGAGGCCGAGGCTTATTCCACTTTTTACTCTCGTCCATCTTTTGTAGTGTAGTCTGGTCGTCGCGCAATACACTTTGTCCAGAGACAGTAGACATCTTCTCATCGTCTCGTTTGACCCAGATCATTGTACCGAATCTTCCATGGCGTGTAGGTGCATTCTTTGCGTATTCCCTCCGTACCAATGATTCTTTTCTCAGTAGATCGCCGAGTTCGTCGGTTCCCTTGGCCTTTCGCTGCTCATCGTCCATAAATAATTTCTCGACGTTGACACCCTTGACAATATGGAAAATTGTCTCCATCAGAGGAATATCTTGAAGGTTGAAGTCTTCGCCGACATTAGAGCACATAGTCAAAAGGAGTGCAAATGCATCTTGCTCATGGAAGGCGTTGATTGTCGCCGATCTGGATGTCTCCTCCTCGTCACCTTCTGCCGCAAGTCGGGTATTCGGGGATATGATCGCAATATTCCGCAGCAAGTACAACATCAACTTGAGAATTCCTTCGTCTCGGGTTCCACGTTCGGATCGAGGGGTGGCCATGCTTGGAAGAGAAATCCGAATGACTGCGCGAAGAATATTCAATCCTCCGGACCTCAGGATACCTCGCTTGTATTGCACCTGTGTCTGTTGGATGTAGGGGGTATGACGATGGTG